AATGAATCAATACAGATCCTTAGTTAGGATGGTCTTGAAAAGTCTCAACAGGTACAATTATAAAATAATCTTGGAAAGTCAGTACAGTAGAGCATCGATTATCCAACTCAATTGGGGACTGAGGTTGGTCGGATAACTGAAAAATATGAAAAAATACATTATTAGTATATCCCATGTAATTAGTATATTAGTATATCGCTATTAACCTACTTCGTGTTGAATTTCCATCAATGTTAAGCCTAACAAAAATTTTTTAAAATAATAATCGTTGCTATTGTATTGTTAAAAATTAGAAAATTAAGCCTCGTTTAAATACTGGCTCCCTTTCATGGTCGTGGACATGGCCAGTGTTGCCAGCTAAAACACGTAAAAATAATATTAAAGTAGCCAAGACATAGCCAAATATTGTAGGGCCACATCACTAGCGGACATTTGAATTTGCCGACTAGAACGTTGTCGGTTAACCGATGTGCCGGTTGATCAAGGGTTGGATAATCGATGCTCTACTATATATTACAAAGAAATCATAAAACCACAACATGTATCCATCTGTTAATATCTCACTTTGTCTCATTTAACTCCCCAGGTTTTTCTGACCAACTGTTTTTCTTCTCTTTTGGGCCATCCCTTTTGGCGGGATTAGCCAATTGGTTTATGAATTTGCAATTCCTATGTTTATTAAAGAGAGAGAGAGAGAGAGACCAATTGAAAGTTTTTGTTTAGTGTTTCTAGTTAGGGGAGAAAGATGAATCAATGTTGTTATTGCATGGGATGATTTTGATAATGTTGGTAAGATTTCTGTAATGTAGGAAGTTAAGCTTAGAAATATTTTTTAAAGTTGAATTTAGAAAGAAGAAAAAATTTCTTCTAATATGGAAATCTTTGCACAATTACTATGACAAGGTTAAGAAAAGCTAGGGAGATGGAGATTGTTATTTCTAACCCTCTACATACTTTTTTGAACGTAATTAAAAGGTTATATATGTACTGTACAAGTGGTTGAACTGATATTCTTCTATAACTTGATGATATGCATTCCATATTAGTTTTTTGGTAACTACATTAAGTTACAAAATGTAAGTATTTGAAACAGAATCATTTTTCAGAATTTTTAATATTAGAGGAAGATTTGAAAATAAGAAGTTGTCATAATACATTTCTCACACACTAACTAGACCTCATGATAAAACAGAACACATGCCAAAATACCTCACTTGCATCCAGTGGCAGAATTAAGACATTAACAAACATTTTCAGGCTCCTTCTGATCCCTGCTTCAGGTTATAGATGTTCTCTAAAAAGAACATGTAGAGAACATTGGCATGATTCAGACATAAATTGTTACGTAACCAGATGGATGTGTTTTGTTGATTAGATAGCTACTTATTCATAGTGATAAATCATATTTCATTTGTCATGCATGTGATATGTGTCTTTCCCCTTTGTAGTGGGTGCAGATCCCCTCTTGTCAGCTTTAAAAATTTCCAAGGCTTACAAATTCTGATCCACCAAGCATGACCATACCTATCGAATTTGCTTGATGTAACTTTGCTTTAATGTTTTAATTCTGTCACTGGATGTAATGAGGTTTTTTGATGTGTTCTGTTGTCATTAATAATTAAATCTTTAATTTCAAATATTTTATAGATAAATAGGCATTATTTATAATCAATAAAGACTATCTTTTATTGAACCAATTAACACACAACTCACTGTAGAAGTTGAAAGAGCATTTAATTTGAATACCAAACAATCTGCTAGATTTTTATCAGGCTATATTAATCGGATGATTCTACTATTCATAATTGGCATCTTATAGTTTATACTCCTGAGATGTGTAATAGGTCAATATGATCCTTGTTGTTACAAAGTATTCTGTAGATGAGATTCTGTAGTACTCTATAGGTTTTTCTAAAGATAGGATTAGCCACAGGGCATAAAATTATCTTTAAATATCCCCTACCATCTACAGAATACATTGCAACAAAAAGGAGCCTGTTGACTTATTACCCCTCCCAGAAGTATATAGAATACAGATTATTGATAGTAGAATGACTTATATTACATTGGAGCCACCACAAGGTCACTGAATGCAAAGATAAGAGAATACAAAGACAACATCCAGAAACCTAACTCAGCTGTTGCCCTAGCAGATTATATAATTTCCAATCCTAATTCCATCTCGGTCAACTGGAACCAGGTCTATGATGTCTACTCTATATCTGGATCATTCCAGATATAGAGTAGACATCATATCAGAAATAGAGGTATTGCACATTTATAAATCAATATTCCTTAGCTGAACCATCAATTATGATGGCTCAGTGACATGGAAAGCTTTTAGATTAAGACTCCAAATAACACTATAAAAATACACAAGGAATACTACCCATATTTTACCTATTCTTACATGTTTCTACATTTTTAGTAGTATTGTTTTGCATTTATTTTACACACTGTTTTTAATTTTATGAGTAACAAAACCTTTTGGTTTATTATATGATCATCTTTTTTTAATCAGTTTTTTACATTTATTCTAATTAAGATATTTGTTTCATTTCTTTAAATATTATTCAAAGTCTAAAACTTTGGTATGCATAAAGATTTTTAAAGATAAGTATGCTTACTATGGTGCCATATAGCTTTTCCATCATTGGTTTATAGCTAAGAAAATGTGATTTTAGTGTGTGACTAATTTACAAGAACTTTCAAATTTGCTTTCTCATATCAAAGAGTAGAGAATCTTGTATATAACATTTTTGCGATAAGAAATTTTTCATAATTTAATCAGAAATTTAAATTCTTACGTGTATGGCAATGTTGAACTCAAAGAAAACATTAATGTTGGAGACTGGACAATTTCTAGAACTGCCATACTATGAAACTTGGATTTTTAGTATTGGTTGTAAATTCATGTTTTGTGAAGACAATGCATTAAAAGTAGAATTTTCCTATTTCAAACTGATGACTGCTTCCAAAGGTGGATTCTCAGCCAAAAAAGAAGAGGGTTGGCAACTAAGTATATGTTCTTTATTCTTAATATAATAAATCAGAATTCAATTTTACGTTTTCGTTATATTGATTTCTGAAAATGAACTTCATTCATTAAAATATAAGCTTTTTCCAAAAATAAAAATATTTAGCTTCTAATGGGATTTTTAGTGTTAAAAACAAACATTTATATCATTGATTGAAAATGATTAAATCAAGAAAACTGTTAAGTTAGCTCACTTTTTAATAATTGTTTGAAGTGTTTTTTTAAGTTTATATCTGAAGAAACATTTATATTAAATAATAAAAATATTTTTCACTTTCATAATTTAGTATATATTATCATTTAAATTTCACATTATACTGAATGTTGTCTGTCATTTTCCTAAATTAAACAGTGATTTTATTCTTTTGAAGTACTGTTTATTATATTAGGGATTTTATTTATACTTTAAAAAGAAGTATGTGCACGCATACAGCTTAATTTAATTTGGAATTGTTTGGCTTTAATATAATCATTGGACTTTGAGATGTTTATATAAGTATCTATGCCTATAGATTATTTGAATTGTTTTTGTACTGGTTATATTCAGTTAATTTATTATTTAACCAAAAGGTTAAATGAACAATTAATTAGTAAAGTAAACAATGATTATCTAAATCCCAGGAACTCATCTAATGTGAAAAACAAAGTATTGAAAACTCAAAGCTGTTTAATATTTTTATTTATAATTTTAAATGATAAATTGATTGCATAAAATACAAATATTCTTAAAAGTATTAAAGTTAAAACAAAACGAAACAACTTAGTTGAATACTTTATTAGATTTTGGATTAACATAAACAGTAGTATAAAATAAAATTGCAGTTAGCATAATTTAAATAAATATAAATAATAATAATTAAAAAAAATCCTTAAAAACTGGTAAAGTTTAATATAAATAGATGCCTTTCAGCTTAATACATGTAATCTGAAAAATGCACATAGGAAGAATGCAAAATGTTTGATAAAATAAATAAGAGAGACTTTAAAATTATTTACTTTTTCTTCTTAAAATTAAACAATAAAATGTAAATAAAATGTTCGTTTCACATAAGTAATTTAACTGAAGTGTTATACAGTATATATTGCTGTTTTAAAAACTTGATTTTTCTCCACATATATAACCAAGTCTGAATTTATACTAATTTGAATCACTAAACACTGGATTAATTTTGGACTATAATTTGGCTAACAATTACTAATCTAAAGCAAATCAGCTACAGCAATTAGGCCACAATCTTGTACTAATTTTAAAATAGCATTAATTTTGAATTAAATAATATAATTTAGAATATTCTGGAGATCAACTGAAGCAATTCAAACTTGCAACTTCTGCTTACTGTGCTGATGTGCTAATGTTTATACTACCAGAATCTAAAGCATGAAATTAAGCTGGAAATGTTTTTATATTAAACTTTATTGATTTTAAGGGCAAATTCTGTTTTCTTTGATTACATTTAAATTTATAAATACAAAAGTTGACTTAAAATAAACACTAAAAAGCTTTTTTAAATAAGATGGCTTTACTCTATCACATACGGTAGAAACATATTGTTAAGCTGACATCCCAGTTATCTGAAGTTGATGCTTTCATTTCGTTATTTGTAAAAACTCAGCTATGAAGCCAATTGACCTCCCTGCCTTCGCTCCTGCCCAGTTAATATTTACTTTATAATAATAATATTTTTTGAGAGGTGTGATTAGTTTTATTCTGATGATGTACTATATACTGATGGAATCATATACTAGGGTAGAGTAATTTATTTTTTTATTTCTTTAATTTGGCAATGCTATATTTAGAAATTTTGTATTAAAATACAATAGCATAATTAAAATATTACTGTTTCATATAAATATACAATATCCATTTGAATTCAAATTTTAAACATAAATATGAAATCTGTGAATATTTTTTATATATGTATTTTGATATCATTCTATAATATAATAATTTTTTTTTTCATAGTTGCTTGTGTGGACAGTGATATGGAAGTATCATATTGTCTAGACAAATGGGAAGGAGAAGGTAATTTACTTATCGTAAAATTAACTCATATATGTGATATAAAACTGATTTTGATAGTTTATAAAGTTTGACAATTAAGTTTTAGAATTATCAATAACTTCATGAAATTTTAAGGATTAAGTAACTTTAAGAAATCATATATAAAATTTTTAAAAAACTTATTATTTAAAATATTCACACACAGACACAGTTGGAAATATTTCTTAAATCATTTAAATTTTCTGCTTTTATTTTTTTCATTTGTGTTTAATGTTATCTATCTTCTCAAAATACCTTTAAGTATCTGTTTGATTTTGTGAAACTACAAATAATTTGTGAAAGATAAATCAAAATAAAGATCATTATTAGGGAAAAGAAATGATTTTTCTAATTTATTGTTTGTGGAGGGTTATCTTTTATTTACCAGAAATTATCAGTGCACTAAATGATCTCTTTTTTGTTTAAAGTTAAAAAACTTGGATTAGTCAATCAAATAGTACATTATGAATGTATAACAAAGATTAGTTTTCTCAAATTTTCCTCAAAATTTTATAAGAATAGCAATTTGCTGTTCCATTATCTGCAGTTCAAGTTTTTGGAGTTTTTCTGTTCTCTTGTTTCTTCATTTTGATACAGAACTATCTTCTGATTTTAATGAATTAAAAATGTAAATTTGGTAAAATTTTGTTGCCATCAATTATGATTGAGATTGTCAATTCTTATCAACTTTGTGTATGCCATTTAAGTGTTAATAAACTATTAGATTTTTATTCTTCCAACAGATTTTACTTACATACTTCCTTAAACAAGTTAACTGAACCTAGAATTTAAAGGCAATGATAAAATATAGTAGACAAATAATTTGGACTCTCTTAATGTTTTATTAAGAGATCCAAATGAAAAGATAGAAGTCAAATAAAATGTTGCTTTGGAGTTGATATCAATTCAAAACACATATATAACAAAAATAATTACAGTAGAGCGTTGATTTTCCAAATCAATTGGGGACTGGGGTTGTTCGTATAACTGATATTTCGAATAACTGATTTATGTACGAAAAAATAGTTTACCGTATCCGATGTCGAAATTTTTCTCCATTGCGTGTCGCTTCGCGTTGAATTTTCGTCGATGTTAAGCCTAACAAAGACTACTGTATCGTTAAAAATTATTTTTTTTATTTNTATATAAAACAAAAAAATTATATATAACTCTAATTTTCACGTTATATATAACTCTAATCTTTTTTAAAATAGATTTATATAAAATCTATTTTAAAGAAGATTAGAGTTATATATAATGTGAGTGGACATTAAGAGGACATGGTCTTTTTGTTGATATAATACAAGATGAATGTCTTTCTTACAGTTACTCTTACTTTGTTTTATAGTAGTAGAATTTCAGTGATGAAGGCTTTATAAATAAATCAAAAATCAACTTTAGCAATATTTCATTTTTTTACAGACCAAAGAAGAAAACAGATTTTATACATATACATGTATATATACTGTATATGCATATGCAAAAACACATGTAGCACAGATAAACCAGTAATGAAATTAGACAACCGAGTAAGAAAAAATTGAAAATTATTAAATAAATTTTAATCTGTATATACAATAATAATAGAAATTTTTTTTGAAATAAATAAATTTTTTTGTTGATCAATATTTTGATGAAACACATCAGCATTATGCATGTAAATTTAATTATTAGAAATAAATTCTAATGTAAATTTATAATATTCTGGAAAAAATCTGCATATAACTGACAATGCATCAGTACAGTAAGTAGGAATTGTGTATTTGAGTCCTATTTCAGGCCAGTATTTTCTTTCAGAATATTTTACATTTTAGCATTATACATTCTTAAATATTTTTCACGGAAAGAAATAAAATTTAATTATCATATTCAAACATACTCTTAATCATGAAATGTGAAGAAACTTGGCACTATTACAATGATGATGATAAGCACGACTTTAAATATTCTTTTGATAAAAACGTTTCTTATTAGCAATTTGTTTTAACTTTCAATTTAGGTCATTCTCAGCTGGCAGAATAAATGGAATTAGTTTATTCTGTCAGCTGAGGATGATTTAAACTGGAGGTCCAACATTTCTGATTAAATATTTTTTGGTTACTGGGAGTTTAGCAATTTATTTTATTGTAATTAACTTAATTATATGAAAAAAGTGTCATGTAATGTTTTGTTTTGATTATATGAAAAATAATTCATAAATATCTATCTAAATCTTTAAATTTATAAATATTAAGAGATTATATAATTGAAATTTATTAAATAACACCAACGAACCCTTCAAAATTAAACCAGCAAATATATTTTAATATAAATATGCTATGACAAGCACTTCAGACCTTAATTGGGATCTGCTTCAGGTCAAAACATTCAATAAAAAATTAGAATGCTAAAAGATCAGTTTTAAATTTTAAAATTGCTGGAACGATTAATGATTTGAACAAGTATAAATTTTTCTGACAATCCTACAATGTTAAATTAATAAGAAATAAAAATCAATTACTTTCATTAGGATTTGTAACAAATATATTAGCTAAATTTTAATTTTTAGTGTTAATGGTAACACACAGATACGATTTTTATACTTGTTTGAATATTTCCAGCAATTTTAAAATTACTCTTTTAGCATTCTAATTTTTTATTGAATTTTTTTACCTGAAGCAAATCCCAATTAGGATCAAAAGAGCTTGTCATAGCATATTTATATTAAAATATATTTGCTGGTTTAATTTTGAAGGTTTTGTTGTGTTGTTTACTTATATATAACCAGCTGTGGAAAGATTTAGAACTCCTGTATGAAGTTTATTGATGTTTCTAATTAAAAAATTAATAATCCTTTCTAATTATATAAATATATATTAATTTAAAATGTTTTCAAATTTCTTCTTATGAATACGTTTTTATAGATTATATAATTTTTTTCCCTTTGAATTTATATAATATATAAATAAAATTTAAATTCTGGGTATACTTTGCATATAAAATTGTTAACAAAAAGTTCAATTTTTATATTTTGATAGATATTTTCAGAAGTATTTATTTGGATTATTGTTTTTTCTTTCTATATAAAGTATATTTAAATATATGCCATATATTACCAAGTGATTTTTAAGGCCAAAATCAATGTGAAATGTGTACTGATTATTATTAAATTATTTTTATATAATGAAATAATGTAAATGAAAACTAAATGAATTATATATAAATAACAAATTATATATCCACAAGATGCATTTAGATAATTAAAATTTATTATGAAAGAATTTCAAAATTTATAATTAGCAGATTTATATTATCAATCAATAAATTCTTTGTATTGTTAGCTTAATTATGCAACAGCTAAAATAATATAAATGTTTTATATTCCTTTATATAATTTATTATTTGTTAATTTTTTTGAAATATTTAAGAAATGACTGTCTTGATCTCAAAATATAAGTTAATATATTGTCAAATAACAGATACCACATAAAAATTTTTTAATTTAATAATGTATAAATGAAAGTTTTTACAAAATCAAAGATGATACAAATTATGATTTAATTTGCTAGCAAAAAGTTTGTACCTGTACTACTAAATTTTTTAAACAGTTATGTTCAGTTTTACAATCTTGAAGAATTTTGTTTATAGTATAGCCATTTTTTTGTATAATTATATTTTAAATTTATACAAAAAATAAACTAAATCTTTAATTTCTTCAATTTTTTGGAGTATTTTAACAATTTTATCTGAAATTATACATGTTAATATCGTGTTAAATGACCACAATCAAGTAATTTACCTCGTACTTTCAGTTTATTTAAACGAATCCCCTTCATAATGTAAACTTTAAAACTATTTTTAAGTATTTAAAATTTTCAGCAAGCAATATATACATTTACGTATAAATATTTTACTTAATGTTTTTTCTTTACTTAAACATATTTCCTTTTATAAAATAACTTTACTATTTTATATAAAATACTTTCCTGTTTATTCTCTGATTAACATTATTTGTAATTAATAAATACCAGAAATGTTTAAAATTAAAAAAAAAAATTTATTTGACATATTATTCCTAAAAAATGTTTCTTCTATGTCTCTTTTGAGAACAGAGTATAGAATTATGCTTGTTTCACACGATTACAATAGCTACATCCTCTCCACCACTGATAATTTCAACAAATTGTCTAGACTTGAATACATGCTAACCGCGTGTGTGGTGTTTTAAATATATTTGCCATTGTAGGGGCGGTAGTTATAGAGATTCACTAGGTATCTTAGGGCTGCTAATACGAAGAGTTTCTGTCAAGGAATGGTATTTAAAGAGTGGTTGGCTTATTCAATGTTGTCATGTTAGATAGTTTAGTAGATTTTCTACTAAATCTGATAGACTGAGACGTCAATCAAGGATGAAGTTAGTAGAAATTCTGGTAGATTATGGCCTTTTATTGAAAAGTGTCCAGACTCGATTACTGTACATACATGAAAAAACTGTTTGACACATACAGTAAGAAAAAAATGGTTTTATGTTAAAATTTTTTAAAAATTTAACTATAGGCCTATTTTTTCTATAGTGTATTGCATTGAATGTTATATTCACTAATCCTATATCAAACGTTTATACATAAACTGATATGATACTTTTGAATAAGGTTTTTAATAAATAGTTTTGAGTGTGTTGTAATTGTGTATTTTAATTTATTAAATGCATTTAAAATTATTATTGTTGTTATACTTTGTTTCTTATTTCTTATAAATAGAATAAATCGTGACAGATTTTTCGTTTCCTACGTATGTAACTGCCAAACCTGATATTTATATATTATATAACTATATAATATATTATATAAATATAAAACGCAAAGAAAGTACAAAAACGTAAAATATTGATTAAATTAAATGTTTATTATTATAGTTGACCTTTGTTATAAAGGGAAAGTATAATAATAAACATTTAATTTAATCAATATTTTGCGTTTTTTGTACTTTCCACGCTCATTATA